ACTCAAAAGAACAGGGGTCTTTGCATTTGCTGCTCAACACTTGTCTTAATTACAGGTGAAGGGCCTAGCAAGTGCAAGCCCACGGGAAACAAGAGTAGAAAACAGCTGGGGAGGTCGAGAGGGACAAGAGAATGAATGCATAGCTCTGAATTTTAATAAGTCAGAATCTCAAAATGAGTATTAATTAAGATATTTTCTGAGTACAACTGGGGAGCCTAAGTGTATAAGGCAGTAACAGAGTCCAGAAGCAGACTGGGCATGTCCAGATTCACATTACTACACAGTACACCAAACATTCATTTGTATCTGGGCTGAAAAATGTTCCTTTCTATGCTCAGATAAGATAGGTAAAAACATTTTACCTTGTATGTAAATGCAAGTTAAAGGGGACACTAAAACGTAACCTTTAAACTTCACAATGTAACAGCATACCACTTCCTGTTCAGAGACTGCACTCCAAGATCAATTAATCATGGCTAAGACGAACACCCGGTCAACATTCTTAATTAGTGCTGATGCATTCTCCTCTGTGCCCTCATCTGTCACAAGGACTGTTTAAAAATCTGAGTTATTAGTCTTTATTGAGGAGTGACTCTGGTTAATATCTCTAAGAATAGAAATCATTCATCCATCCACTATACACTGGTACCTGATAATTCCTACCCCCTATATAAGCCACAGATAACCATCGCCCTAACACCATCTTGGTAGCTATAAATCAAAATGAGTGTAGCTCCCATGCAACCTGGGTTAATTTTTGTTTACAATATATCCACTGAAAACGTTGGTATGACACTTGAGGAATCTACTTATAGATTAGTGCAGAGGAGAATACATAAAGTAGTCAAGGTAGAAAGGAAAGAAACGCATCAGTCATACAAAACACAGTAAAATTTCTCTAATTCACACTAACAACTAGAAGATACACTGTGATTACTAAACTTTGTCAATACAAAATTTAAGCAAAGATCCTAAGTGCACAAAACACAATTCATTCACTTGATAACTATAGTTCAATTTATCCTGTACAATACAAGTCAAAGCATTTGACAGCAACATATCTATAAAAGTTTTAAGTTACTGCATTGAAACTCAAAAGCATTTGTTAATCTTAACAATAAGGGTTACTCCTTTATTCCTGGTGCACATGAAGTGGTATTAGCAACACAGAAATAATCACATTTCAAATATACTTTGTATTAAATAAGATTACAATACAACAAAGTAAGTTACAAGAAAAGTTAAATTTAACATTCAATGCAACTGTAAATTTTAGGATTATTAAGATCTTATGACTTAAAATTAACATGAAAAAGAAAAATTCCCAATTAAATTTTACGATTCCTTAGTTGTTTACTAAATGCACAGACAAAAACCTATGGAAAGACAGAGAATTAACTGATAATTGGACATAAGTGCAGGAAGAAAGGTCTGGGCAAGATCTTGACTCAAATCAGTTTTCTACTCTCTCTGACCAAATGTGTAGGTCAGGCTATGGAAAAAAATATATGGGGAGGAAGAAAGAATGAAATATAAAACTAAGCACCCAGGAGAGAAGACAGTCACCTTAAATAGAGTACCACTTTCACAAAGGAGGACTGCATCTCTGAAGCTCTTGTTGTCCCAACTATTTTTAATAAATTAGTGGGCAATGACAGTCCTTCATTTCAGCTAGTCCTTAAGAAAAAAAAAAAGAAAAAAAGGAGGGAGGGGAGACGAAGGAGGAAAAAAAGAGGGGTAGGGAAGTCCAGACGTTAGGAGACCTTAGTTAGTACTACTCTATTATTTTCAAATAAATTTCTGATGGATGAGAGATTGAGAACTGATTGGAGCTTTGTATGTAGAAATTACCTTTCCAATGTTTCATGCGTAAATCTTAATCTCTTATAATCACAACAGGACATTTTAATAAATCACCACCACTCTGAAGTTAATTATCATGCTTTAAACAGACACACAGTTGCTTGCTGTGTTCATGCTTCTAATCTATTGCAATGTACAATAAAATAGTCAAAACTAATACTAATTAATTCAAATCAGCACTGAACAATTTCTTCAAGTTTGGTGGAATACTGAAGAAATTCCTGCAAACGTAACACATTTAACAGAATGACTACAAATTGATATAAAAAATCACTAATAAATCATGGAGTTTTATAGACAACAGCTAGTACACAATTATGTACCATATACTGCTGTACCCGAGGTAATTTGCTTTCAATGACAAAATTACCACAGGAAATTATATTAATCTAATAGGATTCATGTGTACAGTTTTCTATATTTCATTGTGAAGAAAAATATTTTTCATTGCTGTCTTCCAAGTGCTGGGTTTTTTTTAAACCATAGTTTTATTCCTATTTCTGAAGCACTACAGCAAAGATCCTGGATCTATTTACCCAAAAAAGAAAAATATGCATTTCTTTCAGACAGTATTAGTAAGTGAAAACAGTCAAATGAGAGCCTAAGACCAAGCTAACTACAGTTAAAAGAGCAGCACTAAATTTAGGTCAAGGTTTCAAAACGGATGGTTTCAGCTGGGCTTCCAAATTCTTATCTAGGTATCTAAATACTTGCCCAATGCTTTCCAGTTGCTATTAATGAAAATAACTGCATTCTCAGCAATTTTGTAAAACTTCTATCAGAAGAAGTTAAGTGTTAGAATAACTTGCCTGTGGATATAGACATTTCTAGTCTTTAAGTAAGCATACCTGGATATTTTCCTAAAAGACATGCATAGCTCAAAAAGCCAAGTACAATCCTGGAGACAGAAACTACTGACTTAATGTATTTTTCCTGTATGATGCATGAGGTCAAATAAGTTCATCAAAATGGCTCTTCATAGAATCACATAATAGTTTGGGTTGGAAGGGACCTTCAAATGTCATGTAGTCCAAGCCCCCTGCAGTGAGCATATTCAACTAGATTAGGTTGCTCAGAGCCCCGTCCAACCTGACCTTGAACATTGCCTGGGATGGGGCATCTACCTCCTCTCTGGGCAATGTGTTCCAGGTTCCTCTTCTTGGCTCTAAACCTAGTATTGCTCTTGCATTCTCTACAAGTGTCTTATCACTTACTGAGTAAAGAAGCTGAGCTATTCTGAACACAGTGATTGCACCTGAAGAACTTGTTAGTACCGATAGCTTTATCCTTTCATAACATGCTTTTGTATAAACAGCTTGTTTTCTATTTGTGCAACAATCGGAGCCTGACTACAGTTACCTCTCACAGGCCATTAAAGTATTGGAGTAGAAGCCCCCTAGATATTCTTCTCCTATGATTGAATTCAGTAAAGCAACACACTTCTAAAAGTTTAATTTTTATCATATTGAAATAAAAATAAAGCAAAAAATTACCTCTGTAAGCAGCATCCCCTGCAAGCTCAATGTGCAATAACAGCAAGCATCCTTAGGATCACATGAAAGCAATAGTTTGCTTTTTTTCTTTATACACAGCTTCTGAAGGAAAATGAGGTAGCAAACACAGATGTTCCTCCAGCTGCTATTTTCATAAAATGAAATCCCTTTCACTAGTCAGTGTCAGCCTTTATCTGGAAACTCACTACAAAACCATATTCTATTTGGATTTTAAAGAATTGCAGGCACGTATATGAGAAAATATATATACTTAAGGTATATAACAGAGGTAAAACTCCATCAAATGGAAACCAGTGTCTGATTTTCTACCTCTATGGTGTCATTCAAGAAAAAAAAAAACATTACTTTTTCCTATGTTACAATTTATCTTACTGTAAATACTTTATAAGATTTGCAGAACTCCAGCTAGGAAGTCCAATTTCAGGGCAAAATATAAATCAGTGAAAAATATTTTTCATTTGAATTTCAACAGAATCTGTATTATTGACTCTAGTCTGCTAGAGTACAACACTGTCTATGTTATACTCTGAAGTACTATTTATATATTGTAACTCTAAGAGCTTCTCTGTTTTCTTCCCAGAAAATAAGTAATCTTTCATAATTAATATCACAAAATGTTAACAGCATCACAGTAGCAACACTACAGTTAATGGTTCTGAATGAAAGTGTTGTCTCTGCATTGTTTTCTAATGCTTTTAAACAATACTAACTTGCTAGATGAGGTCTTTTTTTCAGGTTTGTTCATGATATTGACATTGGGACAAACACAAATTTCTTGGAAAGTAAAAAAAAAAAAGAAATCTGTTTTTTCTTGTTCAAGGGAATATATTTACATTGTTAAAAAATTCTTTATCTGTTTCCACCACATTGTTTCTAAAATTGCTTTATGTTGCTTTTATCATCTTCAATAGAAAAAGGGTAAGAGAGTCAGGATCCAGACCTCAGATATGCTACTTAGGATGTTTCTGTAAGATTTCTTAGCTGGAAATGGGGCAATCTGGAATCTAGGAAACTAACTAGGTGGCATATTTTGGTCGTCAGAAGAAAACCATTATATCATACTTACATGATCAAAAAGAAGACAGGTTCATAAACTCCAGAACAACAGGAAATTAGTAACCTCATGTGCAAAACTACAGATACCATGCAAAATAGCCTAGTAAGAAACTCAAACATTATGCCTCATGCATAGTGTAGTTATTTTAAATAATATATACCAGTATTTAATTTAGCAGTCTCCTGACATACAGAACCATGAAATATACCTGTTATTAGATCCAGGAATGCTTCACAGTTCTCCATTCTAGATGCATGCCATGGCTATATCCTGAAGCCCTATCAAATTTAAACATGGGTGAGAGAGATCTCTCTACTCCCGTGTGCTGCTCCCCAAGTAAAGAAAACATAGGCAGAGAGGCTGCTAGCTAGGCAAAGCATCATGCAGCAAGTCCCTCAGCCTAACTGCCCAGAACCATAATCCTGAAATACACCCAAATATGTCATCTGTACACAGCAACAATACACAAGACAGTATTTAGTTTCATTTTACTAAAGATGTATGTCCTGTGCCACTTCTTCAGAGAGCAACATCCAGAGTATTTCAATTAAGTATGAATAACTTACTTTTATTTCCAACCAAGGCCACAAGTGGCTGTGTTTCTGATTCTTCATTCACTTTTTTTACCACATTATACCAGTCTTCTAAATTTTCAAAGCTCTGGCCGTTGGTAATATCATAAACCAAGAGAATACCCTAAATAAAAAGATATATTTAAAATGTTACAGTTATAAAAATATTTGAACGTGGTAACATTTGCATCAGCCTAAATTATTATTATCATAAGATAGAGCATTAGCAAATAATGGCATTGTCTCTTTTGAGGAATAATCAAAGGAATAATAAGCTCCTGTAATAAACACATTTTATTACAGTATTTCTCCTGCATTGCATGTATTCCAAATTCAGATGCTAACTGATCTACAAGGCCAGAAAAAAAATGGCAATTCAGTAAAAAGCACAATTAGTTATACTAGAAATACTCCAAACTGCATATGCTTAATGAAAAACCCAAAAAGCACTTCACACTAGTAGTAAGATAAAAATCACACCGGAAAAGGACTTTTATTTTAGCTAATATTATTTGTAGTTTCACTGTTCCCTTTTTGAAAAAAAATAAAAATAAAAGCAGTTCAATTGTACATTTCTGCAAATTGCCTGACTGTTGCCTATCTGCTCTCCTTTGGGGAGAAAGGCCAGATCCCTTCCTTCCCTGTTGTAGAAGACAAGCAAGAAGTACCGGCAAGCTTTAAACTTTCAAAGGAGAAACTAAAAATGTGGTCAGAAGTCAAAAAGAAAGGAGTCCCATGTATTTCAGAGGTTTTGGGTCAGGTTAAAAGTAACAAATACTCAGAACAGACTGAGGATTCCTCAGAACTAATATCCAATATTATAAAGTACAGCCTGCTAACAGCACAAATGCCCACCTTTGCCCCTCCATAATTCGAAGATCTGCTCTCACAAATCACTCTTCTCTCAATTATTGAGTCTTCTGCCCCTGCTTTCCACTACACCCTAATAAAGTAATTATCGTGTAAATGAGGAATGAAGTCAGAATTGGCTTCTGTTGCACTTGTTCTCATGGCATTCACATCTGGAAAAAAAAAGCCCTACAACTGCCCACTGTTCCTCACATGAAATTTCCACAAATATTCTAAAAATCCAATACAAATTGCATACAAAATTAGCTGGTTCAGTGACCCACTGTCAATAGAAAAGATTTTTTCAAGTCAAGTTTTTTTTTTACTTTGTCTGGGCCCAGCTTTACTTGACAGTTTCATGAGGCATGTCTTAGATCATAAAGTAAGAGTGCATACTTATTAAATTAATTTCACAGATGACAACAAACCGGTAGAGACTGCAAGATTATTTGAGAAGAGTTTAGATTGTATGATGAGAAATAATCTAAAAATAACAGGATGCAATTCAGTAAGTACCATGACAAGTTCAAAGGAAACAATAATCTACTGCACAATAGGAAACATCTGACTTTGTAGCAAGTTCTATACAATAGGATCAAGGAGTTATCGCACATCACAGTTGAATATGTCAAGCTTATTTTGTAGCAAAAAGGCAGACATCACACCGGCATGAAACATACTAGGTGAAACAATGCATCCAGATTTGGACACGGAATGTCAAGAAAAGGGTAGACTAGAAGAGACCAGTAACAACATCAGAGGTTTAGAAACCATGACTGACATCAGAAAATTGAAAAACTGGAATGTTTCAACAAACACAAGACTGATGGCAGGCATGACGATGCTGGTAAAAGTTTCAAGAAAAGATAACAGGAGTTCTCTTTTTATATGCTCTTACACATAGTTTGCAGATGACACTAAATTGGGAGGACCAGCCAATATGCCTGAGGGCTGGGCTACCATTCAGAGCTATGTAGACATGCTCAAGGAATGGAAGAACAGCAACCCTTCAACATTCAACAAGGACAAATGCAAAGCCCTGACTGACTGGGGAGCAACTGAAAATGTGCTGCAGGTCTTGGTAGACAGCAAGCCAAATATGAGCCAGCAATGTTCCCTGGCAGCAAGGAAGGCCAATGTGATCCTCAGCTCTATTAGCAGAAGCACAGCCACTATATCAAGGGATCTATTCCCTTCTACTCAGCGCTTGTTAGATCCTATCTAAAGTAACACATCTAGTCTCAGGCCCCTCAAGACATCAATAAACTGGAGTAAGTTCAGCAGAGGGCCACCAAGATGATCAGAGGCTGGAGCACTTGTTCTGTGAGGAAAAGCTGAGGGAACCAGAATTCTTCAGCATGGAAAGAAGGCGGCCCTGGGAGGACCTAAAAGCAGCCTTCTCATACCCATGAGGAAGCTATGAAGGAGATAGAGCCAGGCTCTTTACAGCAGTGCATGGCAGGAGAATAAAACACAGTGGGCATAAGTTGAAACAAGAGAAGTTCAAATTAGATATAAGGAAAAGCTCTTTCACCATGAGGAGAATCAAGCAGTGGAATAGGTTGCCCAAAGAGGTTGCTCAGTCTCCATCCTTAGAGCTTAACAAGAAGGAACTGGATAAAACCTTGAGGAACGAGTCCCATCTCACAGCTGACCCTGCTTCAAGCAGGAGGTTTGACTAGACACCTCCTGAGATCCCTTCCACCCTGCCTTCTTATGATTCTGTATCAAAACAACATGTAGCAACAGGTTTAACTTACAGCCAGATGATTATAGCGAGGGTACATGCTAGAAAAAAAACATGTAGACAGTAAGAATAGTGAAGATCTGAAATACACCTCCTTCAGGGACAGCAGTCTCACCAACATTGGAGGATTTCTGAAGGTTGATAAAAATTAAATAGATGTTATACAGGTATAGCTTTGGAGGAGGGCAACAGATCCTGTTGAGATCCCTTCAATATCTATTTCCCTATGACAGCAATACAAATCAATCTCTTCCTTTGATGCCATGAATTCCTTGGCAAAATGAGTTCTTGTTCCTTATATATATATATGGCTGCTATTAATTTCTGAGGAGCAGCTTTCACCAGTTCCTTCAAGGAAATTAAGAATTATGACACCCATCTTTTCCTTTGTTATCTTTCCTCCCTTAATTTACTAACCAAATTTAATATTAAACATCCACTTCCCTCTTCCAACTTTTGTACAACTTATTCCTTAATATCTTGCATCTCAGTTAACTTCTTTGATTATTTTTGTAACTACTCAAATACCTGTGCATGCATCTATTCGTCTTTCATACTATAAGTCTCGCTCAAGGAAGGACATACTGATGTTATTAAATGCTCAGTGGCAAAGAAGAAACTCAAGCTGAGTGACAGGTATAGTAAAGATTAAAAAAAAAAAAAGAAAAAAACAGATATAAGGCTGAAAGTTGTAAATAAGAAAAAGCACAAGGCACACTTCACTGGTGGTCAAGTTCTCCCACTAGCTTGCAGAAAAGCAGAGCAGACTATCTAAACCATCTTCAGCACCGAAGAGTTTAATCAGAGTTAGATGTAAGATAAAGTTAATAAAATCTGAGCATTTAAGGTTGGACAACTCTGTTTATAACTATCCTTCATCAAAATGCTCCTCTGCTACATGTTCTCTAGCCAACTACCTATACCTTTGGAAGAAAGAGTATTCACGGTGGATTTACTGTGAAAGAATTCAATGAACAAAGTTTGCAACTAGAGCTCACCTAACTTCCTTTTGGTCCCCTTTTCCATGAACTAAACATTACCTCTAAAGCATATTCTTATTCTTTTCTTAGCCTTTTTTTTTTAATCTTGTCTTCTATTTGCTCTACTTAAGAAACAAAGATGGCAGGTATGACATCTTAGAGATGCAAAAAAAAGCAGCATGGCATCCAGGTCATAAAGAATACTTCTTGCTTAAATTTTTGCCACAGCAGCACTCCATAAGCAACTTAGTATGATATAGATAATTAATGAAGGACTAGTTCATAACCCCATACCTAAAATTTATTTCACTTTTTTTACTTAACATATAAATTCTATTACTGCTTTCACAAAAATACATCATATTTTCCACAAACTTACAGTATACGGAGTACAAAATGAGTACACAGTATAAAAGCTGTTATTTCCCTATTATGCATGAGGAATTAAGGTGGAAAATTAACACTGGCATTTTTACACAAAAGTAGCACATTTCCCTGCCATGAAAAAGGTTTGAAACATATGGAGGACAACATGCCAAGAACACATTCTCTAGTCTCCAGGAAGGTCCCTATTTGTATAATTGTACTCTAGTAAGAGAGACACTTTGCCTACATTAGTACATCTGTGAGTGCTTTCTGTTTTGGAAGGAGTATTTTCAAAAATAAGTCACTGGCAACGGAGAATATTGCAGAAATTATTTGCTGGTCTCTGGAGAAGGTAGAGTCTGCAGTACTCTTATTCTGTTAACAAGCCAATTTATGAGGTAGCATATGCCAGCTCTTAAAGATACTTTAAACTAGATATGTGGGTAGGAGCAGCAATTACAGGTACAAGATGGGAGTGGTTCTGTAATATTTACCACACAAACAGCAGCAGAACTGCTATTATGGAAGTGTTGTAGCCAGGCAATATATTCACACTAGACAATCAACATTTAAAAGGTGTCAAGTTTATGTCAAGATTTGTCACAATAAAAGCAAGCTACAGAAAACACTAATTAAAACCATATGTTTTCTTCTTCAGGTTTATCCTTAGCTGCCCTCATCCTATGACTGACTTCAGTATGAAGGAACTAAATTAACTGTCAAATTTTCATTAATATTCATGAAATATGTCAGACCAAAATTCTAAAATATTTTTTTCTAGTCACAGAATATTCATTTTAGCAAAGAGTAGCTTCATTATGATATCTTGCACATCTGCAGAAATGCTATTTTTACAGGCAAAAACAGTTTACAGTCTACATATACTTAACCACTGTTGTCTTTGCTGATACTGAGGATATGGTCACTCAAATACATGCCATTGAGTTGCCATACTTGAATGAGCTGCTGTCTATGAGCTCAGCTGTGGTAACTCAGGATGCAGCAAATATATTGTTCTGGATAAGCAACACCAGAGGGGGAAAAAAAAAAGGGAGAAAAGAGTAACTGCTTCAAGAAGGCAAGTGAAGAGCAATTTCTCCAACTGCAGCCACAGAAGCAAATTAAATAGGTTCCCATCCTCAAATCTGGCACTCTTATTTTAAAACATGGCACAAGAAATCAGGGACCTCAGTCAAAAAATGGCACCTTAACAGTAATTTAACCAAAAGATCTAGCATAGAGAATCGATTCATCTGTCATTCAAAAGGAAAGAAACCTCCAGTGGCAAGGTTTGCAGCAAAGCATATATGCATGCTCCACTTACTCTCCCTGGTATCTTGACCAAATTTCAACCAAGATCAAGTGAACTGCAGACTTGCTATTAAGATAACCTTTTCAGATGTTGTAGATTCTCAAAACTTCCCTTTCCAGCCGTTCTTAGTATTTTATTAAGCAGGTCTATTATTAAGTAGGTCTACCATACAGTTGCATTTCTGAGCAGAAAACCAAGAATTCAGCCACTTGTGATTTCTAAACCTCACGATGATCAACCAGATGAAGTCTATTGAAGGCTGTGGGCATGTGCAAATACTGGATAAAAGCAGGATGCATACTGTAGGCATGCTGCAAGCTATTCTACACATGTACTTTAAATTTCAGTTATTTAGATATGGAGAATACAGGCAGATGAACACAATTTCTGCAACAGATCCAAATCATCTAGTCTATGTGTATGTGTACAGCTTGTGTACTTTACAAACAACATGTTTAAAATCCCAGTTGCACCACACACACCGACCAAGTGCAACACACCATAGGTATACATACTTCTTTTGTAGCAACCTTTGCTAGAATTGCTCCAATTATTTTAAAGGCTTTCTTGTACTGGGGAACCCAAAACTGAACACAGTACTCCAAATGTAGCCTCAATAATGTCAGAGAGGATGATAATCACTTTCCTTGATTTGCCTACTTCATCCTTACTAATGCAGCACAGTATTCATTTAGCTTTTACTGTTGCAAGGGTGCATTGTTGACTTCCATTCAACTGTTTTTTTCCAGTAAGACCCTCACGTTCTTTTCTCCAAAGCCATTTTGCAGAATGACCGAGGTAGGAAGGGACCTCTAGAGGTCGTTTGGTCCAATAACCCTGTTCAAGCAGTGTCACCTAAAGTCAGCTGCCCAGGACCATGTCCAGATAGCTCTGGAATATCTCTGAGGATGGAGACTCTATGTCTGTGGGCAACCTGTGCCAGTGCTCTATCACCCTCACAGTGAAAAGGTGTTTCCTGATGTTGAGGAGGAACCTCCTGTGTTTCACTTTGTGCCCACTGCCTCTTGTCCTGTCACTGGGCACCACTGAAAAGAGGCTGGCTCCATCTTCTTTACATCCTCCCTTCAGGTATTTATATACATTGATAAGATCCTCCTGAGCCTTCTCTTCTCCAGGTTGAAGGGTCCCAGCTCTTTCAGCCTTTCCTCATAAGAGAGATGCTCCAGTCCATTAATCAGCTTCAAGGCCCTTTGCTGGATGGTCTCCAATTGATTCCTCAACAACTGATTCCCAGCCTGCCTAAAGTTATTCTGTCCCACGTGCAGGACTCTGCATTTGTCTTTAGTGAACTTCACAAGGGTTCTGTTGGTTCATTCTTTCAATTGGTCATGGTCTCTCTCAATAGCAGCCCCACCCTCTAGCACAATGAGCATTCATCCCCAATTTAGTGCCATCTGCAAACTTACAATGTCTTGTTCCATTATTCAAAGAATTAATAAAAGACATGACCCCAGTACCAACCCCCAAGGAATACAACTTATAACCAGGCACCAGTAAGACACTGACCATCTCCCTTTAAGTTCAGTTGTCTGTGCAGTTTTTCAGTCACCTTATGGTTCACCCTTCCAGTCTATACCTCTGCATTTTGTCTGTAATAACATTATGGAAGATTATGTCAAAGGCCTTGCTGAAGTCAAGGTAAATGACATCCGCTGCTTTCCACAGAGCCAATCATCTAACCACAGAAGGCAATCAAGTTGGTTGGGCACAATTTACCCTTGCTAGCTCTTCCCAATTACTTTCTTGTTGCTTTGTTGTCCATTCACAGGACTTTACATACTTTAAAGGATTTTTCTTTCTAAATACCCCTACTTGTTCTACTTTCTTTCCTCTTTTTCTTCTAAAAGGCTACGGATGTTCAACATGAAATAAGCTTCTGTCTAGAAGCAAGCTGAAAGCAGTGCCTTTCCAAACTATTCATGGTGTTTCATGAATAGATGAAAATAAAGATAAGTTTTATGTGTTTTTGACAGGTGCTGTTACAAAGCTAATAGAAAAGTCCACTTTGATGATACGAAGCCTATTACAGACACTGGCAATACATGCCAACAATGGGAGACAGAACAGATGCTAGTTCATTAACAAAATTAGAGTTACAATGAGGGCTGGAGGATGATTAAACGAGAAGAGATTGGATGTAGGGCTTTTTTGGTAATGTGGTCAGAATGACTGAAAAAAAAAAAATCAAAAACTTTTGTAATTTTAGGCTTACTGATATCCACTTTTTCACCACTTTGGGGCACTGTTATTAACTTTTTGACCTGTTATTGCTGATAAGAAACTCTAAGTTTATGATCAAATTCAATACAGAAAAAGTTAATAGCCTTTTATTTCCTTCGTTGAGTTTACTTTGGGCATATGGCAACAATTTGTTATTAATCAAATTCACTCTGTCATAGAAGACACTTTTTCCTGTTGCTTGGTAGATCTTTAACAGGGCAGCAAAATGTTTTTTATTAAAAAATAGGAAAATGTTATAAAACAAATGCAACAGCTAAAAACACTCAGACATTTTTTGAAAGTGACAAAAGTCTTCGACAAGTTAGTCATTATCCCCTTAACTAATAAATCCTAATATCCTTAATTTGCCATTCCTATGCTGTGCTTATTAGTACAAAGTTTCTGTCCAATAAAAGTTTTAGGATTCTATATTCCTATTGCTTAAAGTAGCGGGGGAAAAAATAGGTGTGTTTGTTTTCTTTTCAGATAAATATACCATTATATAATAAAACATGTTATGCCTATTGTTCTCATTACAAATTCCAAATTAAAGAACAGAGTACGTTTTAGAATCATGCATGTTAAGAAGTTTGGTGTATAGTACATCCTCCTAAATCATCTCATAACTCAAGATACTGTTATAATATTTAGCTCTTACTTAATCCTACCATTCACTTTAAGTTGCTTAGTTAACCTCAACATAAAATTAATTTTCATTGGACAGGAGTTTTGCAAAAATATTTAGCTACCTGGTTGCCTCCTTTTGTTTGCTCTCTTATAACCCCTGTTGCATGTATGAGTTTAATGGTGTAGGATTGCTCTTAATTTCCTCCTTCTACTTTTTCCCCCCAGGAGGCATCTGTTCTAAAAGCAGCCACTATATCTACCATGTGGATATCCAAATAGCCTTTACTATTTACTATGATTGCTTTTCTTAACTCAAGACACAAAGCATGGAAACATACATCTGTTCTTCAAAGTTATTCAGATCTACAAATGCGCATTCTTGCTTTGCTTTTCAAGTCAGCTCTAAAAAATTAACTACGTACCAAAATTAGACTTGTGTATTAATATCAGCTAAGGTTAAGTTTAGCTGCGATTCAACATTTTTGAGATTTACAAAACAATAACCTGTAAGATATACATAATTTTAAGAACAAAGTTTCAATTAATTTTATATAATTACTATAAATACAATTATCATTTATACTGTACCTGAGCTCCATAAATATATTTATCCAGCATTTTGCCTCCTATCGTTTGTCCCCCTACATCCCACACTTGCAGAGTAACATTCAAATTTCCTGAAAAAGAAAATGACACAGATATTGTGTAACCTGGAAAAATAAAGATATATTATCACAGCTGATAATACAACTCTAGCATATCAAGAGCAGTAACTTTTTTCAGGTATACAATAAATAGTAACTAAATTTCAACACAAAGATGACTGTATCATTTGGAAAAAGTCACTTGTGTCCAGCTAAGTCATTAAGATGCAGTAAAACTGTAGCTAGATATTAACTTATTTAATATTAACAGAAAAGAATTGGAACTGCATAAAGTAAAACATTCCTGACTAGAAGTTATATAACATACTTCACTGAAGAAGCATGTAAAACCTCACAGAGAAAGTTCTATAGCACAGTACTTGGAACTGAAAGGTAATACAATTAATGTCAACTTAACCACATTATTCCATACTCTGTCTCCTTTCCCCACCACCCCCCTCCAAATTTTCTTTACAAATCTAGAAGTGGGGAAAATCTCCATAGTAACTGTATTTTGGTAGTGATGCTCTTAGTACTATACAGTTAAAGAATTATATAGTTGATAGATTAAAAAATGGAAATACTGACACACATCTAAGTTGAGGATACAAACTATGATTATTTCCTCCACTCACCACCCCAAAGCAGGCAACTAAATTGGACATGATTTACAATAATCTCATCTTCGAAGAATCTACACCAAGAATAGATCTTCCTTTCTACTCTAAACAGTCTTTAAGCTTTGTTGAAACTATTAACAGATTTTCAAAAACAAAGTAACAAAAGATCAGTGTAAATACAGACTATTTAATATCCTACAAGTCATACATAGTCTGCAAACTAACAAGAAACTCATAGACTAAACATACACACAGCAATGTATGTCACCACATGCATACAAACATATTAAAGTATAATTTGGCTCATTTTGTATGGTGAGAACTGTTCTCAAAACTGTACTGATTATCTGGAAGCACCAAGCTAATACAGTAAGGTCTGATGAAAATTTTTCTCATCTACTTACAACTCACATTTACACGTTACTAACAATTCTACATAGTCACAAATAATCACAACTGCCTACTAATTTTATTCCTACATTTATTTTTTTAATTGCAACAAATTCCACATCACAAATAAGAATCAAGTGAAAAAGAACACATTTGGGCTGCTAAGAAAAATAAACTCTTAATTCAAGTCTTTTATGTTATTAACAACTTGATTTTACACAATGTGATCTATTCAGCCATCAATTTATAACTAACAGACTCACATGAGTTATGCAAAGGAATGTGCTCCATGGAAATATATCCCAGCACTCAGTGAATATAAACAGCAAATTAGAACTATATAGCTGAATATATGCTACTTGTGGTATTTTATGATGCATCTTGCTTTAATCTGGTTAAAAGCACAGATTTCGTAAACTTCTACTTTGGTCTCAAATTACAGAGAGATGAATGCGAGACAATCTATTCACATTACTTTTAAGCCACACAGTTTTATCTGTGTGATAAGATGTATTATCTTTGATTATATCTTATTATATTTGATATTAAGACAAAGAATTTCTACTTGGAGCTTAGTAGATACATCATAAACACTCCAGTTCATTAGAGGCAACCTTTCATAGACTAAAAAGCTTATTTGTTTTGACAGTGCATATACTATGTATTGATTAATTATTTTTAAAGCTTAGAACATAAGCAACTGCAAACAATGCAGTAAAGTCTTCCATAAAGCATCCTGCATGGATAAACTGGTGAATCCGCAGTCTAAAAGGACTATGCATCTTCAGTGGGTAAACAAACTAAAACATGCTCAAAAGCTCACCATGCTGCAGTATTCTACCCCTAGCTTGGTTGTATGTATTCTACTGGAAATTTACCATGTCATTCATGCCACCTATTTGGAAAAAAAGCTTTATAAATATTATCAGTTTCAAACAACAATTTTCAGATGCCTAATTTTGTGTTCAAATGCTTTAAACAGTTTCTAACTTCATTTTTCCTCCTAAGTGTAGTAATTATGCACAGCATACTGGGCTTAGAATCTGGATAACTGTACGAAATTATCTGAGGAATTTCAATGCAGGAAGTTAAATTAAATGGTCTAACAGTGACTGTTCAACTTGAAAATATACTATTATGAATCATCTACTTTCCTTCACTAGCAACAGAAAGAAGAAACTGGGAAAAAAAGGTTGGAATGCTCATTTAAGGTGAAGTGGTTCTTAATTAAGACCTCACTAACTACTAAAATTCATGCTGATCATGTGCAGTCCACAATGCTTCATCATCCCTTTTTTTCAATTAGGTCCTGTAATATTTGCTTTGTGTTCCAACTGATTTTGGGGAAGAAAGAAGGATCTTAGGATTATTCTGACAGAAGGAAAAACTCCAGACAATTTGCCTAGCAAATATTTAATTAACAACTATGATAGCAGCACATGAAGTTTTCCACAGAGACTTTGAAACTTTCTGTTTTTTTATAGATTTAAGAGGAACATACAAACTGGAGAATGAAAACAAAACAAAAAAGAAACCATGCACAATCAGACAGTTCTTAGAAACAAGGTTAACATACCAATAAAAATAACTGAAGAATCCCATAAAAATAATATATAGTACACTGGTAAGGAACAAGAAAACACTAGCACTTCTTTACTCTGTAGCAAATGCGCACAAGGGCAAAGTTAAAATAACTGAGGCAACACAGTGCAGGTATCTAGATTGTTTCTGGTATGAACAGAAGCCACTGAGTTGATTCAGTAGGGAGCCTGCAGAAGTATACTTGGTGCGTTGGTTAACCTTTACTTAAAGTGCTGCACAGTCAAGATGGAACTAAAAATACAAGTCTGCCCACTTGTTGCACTGACGACTTAAAAAAAAAAAAATCCTTTAACAGAAGAATCCTGTTTACTGGACTGCACCCACAACCCTCCTAAAAGTATTTGACTATGGCTCTTAAAAATCTTTATCAGCAAACCCTCTAACACATACACTATTTAAGCAGCAAAATCTACACCATGGTTGCATCCAGACTAGACAAGACACTGCATCAATAAATACATTGAAACTGATTTGCATTTGAAAAAAAAAAAAATTAAATAACTGCTTGAAGAGAATTTGTCAACAGTTGAACACTAAAAGTCACATTCAAAATTAATCAAAGGATTTACTATTTGTATTAAAACATATTGTTTTAACTCTGTAAAATATTTATCTTTTTCACTGCAAAACTGCATCAGTTACTAAAACAACTGGAGACAAATACCACTTTTGTTTTTAAAAAAAGCCTCTCAAAAAAAGAAACACAGTACTTTATTTTACATTTCTAATGTGGCATAATGTAAACTTCTGTGCAATTCTAGAAATCAGTAATTTTAATTTCTGAGATCTTTTCTTCTGTTTAAAGAAGAAAAGAATTCAACTACTGAACCATAGTTATTTATCAATTCTCCTACCAAATAAGAGAAATCGAGGCTTTTTCCCTACTGATACATGCATTAGAATATCTGTGCAGCAGTACAAATTAACCTTTCAAGTAAACATAGTAGGTCTGCAAACCCTGAACTAATCAAGAAATTACAAAAATCCGCTTACTTAAGTAATGCTTCCCATTCCAGTACTTAGAAATGTTACCTCCCTCCCTCTTCTCTTCCTTCCCTCTCACTCCCCATCACTAGTTCAGCTTACCTACAAAACACAGAAATCCATATATACCTAAACACATACATGGCATAGGCAAAACCAGAATGACAATCTACAGAAAAATGCTTCTTTCACGAACATTCCATGGACGTTACTATTTTGTAATGATAAATGAGGAAAAGATGTACGGACTTTGTCTTGGAGCTATTTTCATCTACATTCTGATTTTATTACAAAATAAACTAGAAGAAATGAATGAATCAATAGTTGATATTTTTCCAAACTTTCCACTCAACAAGAATATTTAGAATCCCACTAATGTACTAACAGCTTCTGTATGCTTAACAGCTGGAAAAAAACTTGCAAAATACAAGTTCTCAGCATGCACACTGCATGATTTGTGTACACATTCCACTTGCAAGTACTGTTGTTAAGTATTTTTAGAGGCATAAGCAGAACAATAAAAAAATTATTCTATTGATTTTATGGAGAAATAAGCACTGAAATTTGATACTTTATCACTCACCAGATACTAAAAAAGTACAGCAAAATGACCAAACCAAAATAGTGAATACAGGAATAGCCTGAAATGATTATTCTGTTTCACTTAAGAAAATATATAAACATAATCAAGAACTTATTGGCAATATAATTTTAACAAAATAAGTTTGAGAACTGTATTGATTTTCTTATAACTTTGGGTTATAGCTAAAATGCTTCATTTCTGGGTTTGCTTCCCTCCCCACCCTCCAAAAGGAAAAAAGACAGAACTACAGAATTTGCATCAACTTTATCAAATCTCAGTACAACTTTTAATAATTACACATAATTTTTCTAACTTCTTCTCATTTTTGAAGCCAGAAGAAAATGCATTTAATGAAATACTTTCATACTTAGAAATTGAGCAACCACAAATCAATGAAAAGACTTATTTCAAACCCCCAATTGTTCAGAGACAAACTTCTACCAGCAACTGTTCTTTTTTAATTATTTCTCTGCATTTTCCATGCAGTGTGCTGCAACTGGCATCTAAATAGTTCCTTTGCCGTCGTGAAGTGAAACATCTTGAATGCTCAAACTGTATTTTTATGAGTGCCGAGGGACCCTAAATTTTAGTGGTCTATTAAATGCCAGCAATTTCATGCTGCCTTGCATAAAACAGCATTCACATATTAGAGCACTGCAATTCCATAGCTGCATTATGCTTCTCTCACACAACTTAAACACAGGTTGTGTATTTCATTAAAAAAAAAAAAAAAAAAAAAAATCTATTTCTTTCAAAACACATATACTTTCTCAATGAATATATTTAAAGTTCAATTACATTGTTGTATGTTACACTATCCAGATGGACAGCAAGTACACTCAAGTACAGAGAATAAAAATCACAAAAATAGATAGCATTCCTCGTATTTGAATTCAGTGTTTTACTTAAAGATATAAGTTGCAAATGCATAACCCTTTGTCACCTGGCAAGAACATACTAACAAAATTTTCTCTGAATAACCTAATTTACTTTGCCATAAAAAGCACTGTACTAAGCTTATTTAGTACACATTACCTTGAAGAAATATTTCTGCAAGTCTTACTGCTGTGTAAGTGTTAGTTTTTATTCTCTTACCTGGCAATATTATCCTTTTCAAGAAGAAGTCCAGTCCTATGGTTTGTTTGTACTGTTTTCCAAATGTTTCTTGGGTAAAACGTGTTGCTAAGGATGTCTAAAACAGAACAACATCAAATTAAGTCGTCATTTTAAACACCAAAAAACTTGATGTTAAATCATAAGTATGAAATACGGTTAGGCACTTTTTATATCAATGCATGCTAACAGCATCCATGGATTTGGATTGACAAGCATTCCAACCAGCTTCAACATAATAAGAGGAGATGACAAAGGCTACTAATTTATGCAAAGAGTAGCAAGGTGCACATTTCCTCTGTATTTCAAAGATAACTGTGATAGTCATAGTACAAAATATTACACAGATTTGAATGAGGTATCATTCTGATATCAAACTGACACAAATCTAAGTGACGCTACCCATACCTGAAGAGTTTATTATTTTTTAAAAGCATCCATTCCCAAAACAAGGGTCCTTCACTGGTACAGAACACCATGATCCCAGACCAACTTTCTGGGAGGGAACAGAGGTCTGCACAGTGCAGAGTCCCACAGGGGCTCCAAAGTGTGGCAGGATTCCTGCCACTGTACATCAAAGTTTCAGGATCAGGGATTACATGAAGTCTAAGATAGGAAGAGTACTTTCTTGTACACAGAAAAAACTAAACTCATGTTAAGAATGCACATTTGCAGAATCACTCCTTTAAGCACAACTTTGGAAACTTATTTCTTCAATTTAAATTTTGTGGATTTATGAAAGTAGACCAATACAGTGTTGACCTAATAAAGAATCAGCTTTTAATTCATACTGCTAAAAGGATACACAACTAACCTACATCAAGTAATGAAGCAAGACATTTTCTTTCACTAGCAATTTAAGTTCTCCATGCAAGGCAAGGGCGGGGGGCGGGGAGGGGAGGGCAGGGGGGAAGTAAAAGAAGGCAAGCAAGCTCCACAATCTAAGGTTAAAAGAAAAGGAAAGGAGAAGAGAGGAGTGCAGTTATAAAGACTACAAAAGTTTTTATTGTGGAAAAAAATAAATACTATATTGGAAATTAATGTCACATAGATAAAATACATCCTACATCAAATTAGTGGTATACACTTACAAATCACTTGTTGACATGACATCTGAAAATAGAAAAACTAAGTAATCGCAGAAAAAAAAAATCTAAATATGTATTTACATATATGGGGGGAAAAAAAGCCTAACAGCCTCACAAAATCCTTACACTGTCTGAGAAAACTCAAAATGGGCAAGAAGGAAATTTTTTTTGCCAGCTTTCCATTCATCAAGACCTGAAGAGATGAGTCACATCAATTGGTATTAGAAATTGCTGTTAGGGAACATTTAGTTAAAAATGCAATAGTAAAATAATGCCAATAGTTGTGAAAAACGAGAATAGGCAAGTTCTATTAACAGAACAGTTATAAGATCTAAATTATGTTAATAATGTCAAATATACATAGGAAGAAAAGGTGACACTTTTTGAATGAAAACATGATTACTAGGGCTCTAGCATTAAAGCTCTAATATGAATAGGCAAACATTTACTCAACTATTAAATTGCCTGTGAAATCAATAACACAAGATTTACTGTTTTCTTGTTTCTTTATCACATTTATATTTCTATCACTATCAAATATATAATAAATGATATTTTGATATCACAAGATATGTTTAGGAAGTAATCCAAAAAATCAATTAAAGACTACGGCAACATTTCCATTTACTTCACTGAACTCAAGCCCCGAGAGGATTAAAAATAAACAAATAAATGCAGAAAAAAGCAAGTAAACTAGAAATAGCATGACTATACTTATATATTTATATCACTGCACAAGGGGTGAAGACCGCAGAGGATGAATCGTGAGAAGATTCTTCTGCCTAGAGCCATGAGACAGCAATACTAACAATATGCACAAAATAAAATTCAATGCACGTTTAGACTGTAAGTACTAAAGTAAGCATAACTGATTCTTTTCATTACAATAGTTAGCATGTCAAGATTACAAAGACATTCTTTTTAACCTGTCATGACCTTAAAGATGTAGATAAGAATAAAAACATTGCAGGAATACACTACACAGTCTTCTCCTTGAAATCTTCCTTTTCGGAAAAGTAATGTCCTGGTTTCGGACCATGACAAGTAACCAGTACCCAGAGTACAAATTAAAATATCATCTGACCATATCATAGCATTCTGTGCTCTCCAATACGTTAATTTAGATCCCCATTAAATAAGCAACCACTCCCTTCTTGTTTTAAGGGCTCAGTAAATATTAGCTTTATCACTCTGCAACACTCAATATTCCCTGAGGGCTTCTAGGGGTGTTAGTAAAAATAAACAGCATACATTCAATTAACAGCCAACCAATAAGAGCAGCAAGTAATCAACAGCATGGCAAAGTTCTCTTAAACAGTTTTCCTCTACTGTGCTCTTGAATGCAAAGGAATTTATAACAGAAAATCATTGACTAACTCCTTTTTAATTTTTTTTTTCTAATAAATGTTAGAGCTTAAGGAAGGTGTTGGATTACCAGACTAGAGTCCCCTATTTATTCACAGAACAAGCATTTATCCACAAAATACTAAGAGTAACAGTCCAAACTTCTCCACAACAGTAAACAGAGAAGTTACGTCAATGCATATTCAAGTACCTCTACAATGCAGATACTCCCTTCAATCCTAAAATTGTTCTCTGCCATACTTGCCGTAAAAGATTCTGAATTACAGTTTTGCCTGTATGGATATGTTGAATACAATCTATGTAAAAAAAATAACCAAAGTTAAATAATGGTTCAGTAAAACTGTAGATGTAAAAATAAATATGTGATCAGTGACAGTTTTTAAAAAAGAGTATGCTCCATTCATAAAATTTCAGCCATTAATCTAGAGATGGGAGGATAGTATGATATGAAGAAGGCCTTGTTCCTTCACATCTCTACTAAGACAACCAGGCCACCAACTTTCATAGCAGACTTTCCATAGACCCAGTTTGGCAGGTTCACATGTGTCTTAAATACTTCAAAGCAAATGTTTATATGCTGTTCTGAATAGCAATACACTATTGAAGGTTGGTGTTACAAACTCCTTCCTTTCAAACAAAAAAAAGTATTTGGGTTCTAATATAGAGCAATCAAGGCAGCAGTAAAAAAAAAAAAAAAAAACACCACAACATCATCAAAATTACAATATTCTAAGTGAAAATACAACAGGATATTTGGGAAGGTTTTTTGGAATCAAAGATGCAATTAAACATCACAGGTGTGGCAACACAATTTCTTGCTTCTGTTTTTCAGTGTCAACACCTCAGAGTATAAACTGCTGACAAGCTGTTACTAAATACCTACACAGTGAGTAAATAGATAAAAAAGCAAACAATATTTATGAAATAGTAGCAGACAAGTCAAACAGAATAAGCAATGATATCCAGCTCTAACAGACACTGACTACTCACCAATACAACATGGAAACTTGTAGAGAAAACCCTGCCAAAGACAATTCTTTGAGTAAAATCCTATAGAAGGAAGCTTTCCAAAAGCAATGCCAAAGTGTAGTATCACAGTTGTAAGAAAGAAAAACTAAAACCAAAATTCAATGGGATGCAAGCATATAGTTCTGAAGCCATGAATTTCCATTCACATACCAACTTTACCAGCCAACTGAGAATCCACCTTGCAAAAAGCAACACGTATCTATCCCTTCCCTCACTCCCTTCTAGAACGTCAATGCCATTCTCCAAGCACAGCAACATACACCCCTCAGTCATGTCCCAGCCCTACTGGCAAGGATTTTAAGGCAGACAAAATGTCTGTCTGTCTTCTGACAAGAAACACTGGGCTAAATAACGAAATGCTTTAACCTGCATAAAACTACGTATGTAACTGTCCAACACAGAATTTGTCACTAAGAACAGTGAAGCTTGGGGAGATGAAGTATTTTGCAAACAAAGGAAGTAGTTCTGTCATCTGAAGTTGATGACTTTCCACCCCACTCCTAACTACAGATGAAACTTTGTTCACTGAAACAGAAAAAATTATCAAGACTTTTCAACATTAGACATCCATCTCTGAAACTAGGCCAATCTGCACTGCACACTTGATGCAATTTGCCATCTGCAAGACTAAAGAGTGACAACAATGTTTTTGTGCCCATGCGTAACAAGAAGATCCAGAACTGGCACAATGCTTAAAAATCTGGCATCCAAAAAAATCCTAACGCAAGCAGGACACCACTCTGTATTCCAGCCTACATTTTAGCTCCTGCAAATTCCCACACCAGGTTGAGCATTCACTCTTTCATTTTCATCATCCACTGTTAAGAGGAGAAGGTAGGATGTTTCTGCTACCATGCTTCAGCCCCAGTTGCAACAGATGGTGGAAAGACAGGACCTTGGCTGCTTTGCTCCTCCCATACACCTATTTTTCAGGACCTCCCTTCCCATGAATAGCTCCAAGATTTGCTTCCAGAGGCCCAAAACCTTTTCCAACAGTAGCAAATCACTTAGTTATGGCTCAAATCAGCATCATTATATACTTCAATATTAAGCTAATCTGTGCATAGCAAGAGTAGAAATATCTGAATCATAACATCATTTTTTTCAATCCATACTAATACTGCTAGTTTATTTTAATGGAAAATCATTTTGGCGCAAGAAGAGTGGGTTGATTTAAAACCTAGATCCATAAAGCTGCTGTAGGTATATATGTTCCCTCTTGTAATCCAAATCAAAGAGCCAACTGCTATTAATAATTGCTGTTTATTTTCATCTCACATTGTCCCCGCTTCCAATTTCTTTTCAGATTGTTTTCTTAGTTTGTCTAGTTCATTAAAATAATTCTCTATTATCTTCCTACTAAGCAATCTTGCCTTCCTCAATTTTTCATCAATTTACCATTTCCTTACCATCTCTATTTTACTCTAATACTTTTTCAGATTCTGCTCTGTCTCACTCCTCTCATTCCTTCTTCCCTTTTTACTCTTCTCTCCTTAGGACTTGCTCCAGCAGTGCTTATTCCTACCCTTAAATTCTAAGTACCCAATTACTCATTCAACCACCACAAAACAAATTAATAGAAGCACAACATCCCTCC